TGTGATGCAAAATATTTTATTACTAAGCAAACGAAAGTGAGAAAAGTAAAAACAAGCTGTACTACGACATAAGTCAAAGTTCTATGATACGTAGATCAGGATAGATATCGTCGAATACATTTGCTTTTTGTTTTCTCGTGAATGAATTACTCACTCATCAAAAGATAATCAGTAAACACTCCTGAGACCTTCGAAACCTTCTTTTTTAATTTTTTTTAAGGACTTTGATTCTTTTTAAGGTTTGAAGCCGTTCAAATGCCAAAGCTAAGCGTTGCTTATATATAGAACAATTATAAGTACAATTTATAGATGAATAGAAGATTCATACACACAAAAATATTGTTTTCACAATAATTGAAAAGAATGTTATTAATGAAGGAATTTGAGTATCTTTTCACTTAATCCATATTTGAATTGAAGTATGTCATAAATGAAACATCAAACATTGTCATTTTAATGTTGTCCTCTGTACTCGAACATTAATAAATATTTTTCTCAATGAATGCAATTCCATGAAAGCAAATTTTCAACAAGACTTGGGAGAAATCCTTTTATGAAGATTCTCTTGAAAATCATATCTATGTCAGACAGATATATAATTTATCCAGTATATAAAGTTATTCTTCACCTTATCTAGTATTTATGTATGATTTTTCAGCTTACTATCGATTGTTTTGTATTTGCTCTTGGACAAATGATTTCATTTATAGAAGCAAATCTTTGTACACCACAGTTGATTTGGCATTGCTTTGTCGTAATATTGCATTAGATTTTTAACAAAAGAATAAAGATCCGAATATGTGGCGTCGTCATACAGTTCTCCAGCGGCACCTTAAGGGATTTGTAACAATAAAATAATGCAGGCTAAATGATGATCCTGTTCAAAAAAAGTTGAATTAATAATTTGCTCCATTCCTCTTTATTTGATTTTGCTTTCAAAGAGTATCAATAGTTGTTGCTGGCATCCGAACAATTTTTTGAATATGTTTTATAGATGGTTGAAACAAAGTGAGCGAACATTTCCGAACCCTGAGTCATTTCCATGTTGTCTTTCGACTGTTTCAGATAAAGAGAATACGCTTGGTAAGACAAACGTGCATCATTTTACTCTACCTTTAGTTTTTAAATTAATAATATGGTACTAGAAAACAGTTCTGTAAATTTTTTCTTTTTGTCTGCTATTGTTAATTATTCAAACTTATTTATTTTAATATTTTAAAGGCACTCTCACTATGTGTAATTAAAAGAATTATTATTTTAAACAATGATGGTAATCGTATTTTAGCTAAAGTAAATAAGTTTAAATTTTATTTATATATATTCATTAATTTTTTTTTCTTTATTTCGTATTATAATCAATTATTTTCAACAGTAAAAGAACAAAAAGAATTTGAAAAATCATTATTTACTAAAACATGCAAAGGTTCAGAAGATGTTATTCTTCTTGATAATTTAACAATCGCCTATCGAAATAATGTTGATCTATTTTTTAATGTTGTTGATAGTACAAATGAAAATGAAGTAATTATAAAAATTTTCAAATTTTAGTTAATGTTAAATGCTGTTTTAGCATGTTTATTTCAATCACTAAATGCAATGTTAAGAAAGAATGTTGAATAAAAAATTTCTTTATGAAAATCTTGATTTAGTTATGCTCACACTAGATGAAATTTGTGATGATGGGTAAAATACTCAAAAATTTTATTTTTCTTTAGAATTATTCTCGAATCAGATCCAGTTTTAATTACTCAAAGTGTTCAATTACGTTCAGATGACATTCCATTAGGGGAACAAACTGTATCACAGGTGAGTACTTAAATATTTATACATGAAAAAAGACCTAGTATCGTATAAAATAAAACATGAGATATTAACCCTTTTTTTTGTCCATCAGATATTCTATCAGGAACTCAATATGTTACTCAATACTGACTGATAGAATATATAGAAATCATATGTGTGGGTGTATATATGAGCTCTTGATTTTGCTAAAATTGTTTTCGCTCGTAAAAATAATTTAGCCATTGGCAAGTTTATCTATATTTCATCCAACGTTTGAGTTTTCTTTTTGCAGTGATTGCATAATTTAAGATTTTATTTTATTTTCTAAATATTTATTTTATTAGGTTCCCAATCATGCTAAAGAGCACACACCCTCGCCTTGTTTTCTTTTCTTTTTGCGTTTGTCTTTTTAAAAAAGAATAAAAATATATAGTGTGTTCATACGAATGAATTGTTATAGAATTTCTTTTATTGTTATTATTATTATTATTTTCTTTTCGATGATGAACTCTGTTCCACTAGCAGATGATCTTTCTCGATCGGTTTTTGGTACATTCTTTTTGTTTTGTTCAATGCATAGCTGCATTGTACAAATATCGCATTATTTTAGGTTTCGTGGTCTTTGCAATAATTTTGGGTATGTTGTTATGTTGAGTGCTGCTCATGATATTTTGAAACAAGAAGAGAGTGATAATTCAACTCAACCAGTATCACATAATACAACAAATCAATTTGATTGTAATCCAATATCGACAGGAGTGAGTAGATAAGATCTTATGAAAAATTACTATTGAGTATTTATTTTTAGACTATTCTACTAGCAGATATTTTACCAGCATTGGTTATTAAAATAACAGCTGCATTTTTTATGCACAAAATTTTATATAAGTAAAAACTAATTGCTCTTTGGTTGTTTTTTTCCCATACGAACAAATGAATTTATTTTTCTCTTGAAGTATTCGTTTTGTATTGATTGTATTATTTGCTGCTGGTGCTTTAATTATTGTTAGTATTTCAAAAGTAATTGCTTTAAGTATATTCGGTAAGTTAATTGATATAGTATTTACAAAAATTGAAAGAAAATTGTTTAAATCAAAGGTGTTGTTTGTGCAAGCATCAGTGCAGGTTTTGGTGAAATTACGATGTTACAATTAACATCGTTTTATGAAAAATATACAGTCAGTGCATGGTCAAGTGGTACAGGTGCTGCTAGTTTATTAGGGGCTCTTTCTTATGCTGGACTAACAAGTTTACTTAAACTAAGTCCTAGAACTGCTATTCTTATATTACTTTTTATACCTGTTCTTCAAGTTATCAGGTAAATAAGCATAGATGTGTTTATTTTAAAATGAAAGTTATTTGATTTGTTAAGTTATATTATGGTTGGAGCTAGTCAAACTGCTGCAAAGCATAGAGAATATCAACAAATAAGTTCACACATTGTTTTAATTAGACGATAATGTTGATGAAAAGATTATAAATGGAAATGGAACGATGAAAAATTTAAAGATCGACTTAAACTTGTTAAGTATGTGATTAATAAAAAATATTGATTCCATTGATGATTGTTTATTTTGCTGAATATTCAGTCAATCAAGGAGGGGTAAATATAAATATAAATTTAGCCATTTTATTCGTTTAGTACGAAATGATCTTTTTTCGTAATACAAGTATTCCACATTCGGCTCAATATCGCTGGTAAGTACAGTTTATATATCGTGGTAGTGTTTTCTCGTCATCAGTCTCTGAAGTAAAATATAGTACTTTTATCATATAAATTCTATACTATTAGGTATTCGGTTTGTTATCAATTGGGTGTTTTCTTATCTCGTTCATCCGTAGCAGTTTTTGGTAATTTGGGTATATTTTTTGCCTGTGTCTATCGTACGGCTCATATACCAAGTATATGGTTAGTGTTCTGTTTAGTCGTATTTGAAAGTTTAATTGGTGGTGGAGCTTATCTCAATACATTTTATAAGATATCGATTGAATTATTAACCTATTGATCATTTTAGATTCCTGAACCTGATCGAGAATTTTCAATGGGTGTTGCATCGATAGGTTATTCCTTTGAAATAACATTTGCTGGTCTATTAGCAATTCTGCTTCATAATGAAATATGTCAATAATTATCATGATAAATTTCTCTGTTTTGTTTTCGTATTTAGATTTCTTTATGAAAATTTGTGTCTTCATTATTAGTATTATTTTTCTATGAAAATTTGTTGCATTAGTCTATTTTTTATTCTTATTGGTAATTTTTCTAGATGGATGAAAATTATTTTCGAAATAAAATTGTTTGTGTAACAAGTGCTGGACGAGGTCTGTTATGAAAAATGAATTTATTTTTATATATATTGAAATAAAATAAATCTTAAGGTATTGGTAAATCACTAGCTTTACGACTTGCTCAACTAGGTGCTAAAGTTATTTCTGCTAGTAAAACTGATGAACATTTAAAAGAACTTGTTGCATAAGTAATAATAATGAAAGTTTCTTTTTGTTTTTTTTCTTAATATAATTTTCATTTGATTTTAATTAGAATAATAATATTGTACCAGTATATGTTGATTTAAGTGATTGGAAAGCAACAAAAGAAGCTATCAATCCATATCTACCTATTCAATTATTAGTAAATAATGCTGCTATTTCTATTCATGATTCATTCCGAGAAGTTAAACAAGAAGATTTTGATACGTACGTATACAAAAACAGAATTTGAAAACTAATGATTTGTTTTTTGTTTTTATTTCAAAGATTATTTAACGTCAATGTTCGGTCAAGTATTTTTTATTGATGAAAGATTTAATTTTAAAAAAAGTAATTTGATAGGAAATTGCACGAGATTTAATTGAACGTAAATTACCTGGTTCAATTGTTAATGTATCAAGTCAAGCATCAGCCGTTGATGGTTTAACGTGTTATGGCTTTGAAATTCGGTCCTCATCAAGTAAAGATTACTTTCTTAGATTATTATAATTAAATATCTGTTTGTTTAATTTAGATTCGGGTTAATAGTGTACAACCAACTGTAAGTATTTAGTAGTGAGAAAAATTTCGCCAGATTTTACTTTGTATTATATAGGTTGTTTTAACAGATATGGATCGGATGGGTTCGCATTCATGAAAATGTTTACTTTTTTATTTTTAAACAATTTATTTGTTTGCATAGCTTGGTCTGAAGAAAACAAATCTTCAGAGATGTTATCCAAAATCCCACTTAATAGATTTGCCGGTTTGTAAAGAAAATACATTGAGTTTTTTTTTTCATAAATTTATTTAAATAGAAGTGGAAGATGTTGTTGAACCAATTATATTTTTACTTTCGGATAAATCTCAAATGATTAATGGGGCTTGTTTTTACAAATAGAACTATAAGAGAATACTTTACTGAATATCTTTTATACTGAAACATTTTCTATTTCTTTGCTGATGTATCTCATTTATGCACTCAAATAAATAAAAAAAACAATTCATTTATTCCTTAATTTACTTCTTCAAGACAAAATATATTTATTAGCAAATTTTAATAAGTATGTAGAACATATGACTTTTTGAATTCATTAAATTATACATGCGATTAATACAAGACTAATTTACTTGTAGTTTATATTTAGTCAATATTGTGCAATGCAATAGAATACTTTTATACCAGATTACAAATATTAATAATTGCAGACTATTGATATTAATATTAATGCATGGTTTTAAGTACTGAGAAGCATATTGCGGTTCCTTTTCAAATGTCTTTCAAGACTTTGTGCTCTTGCAGGGTGGGGTGTGGATGTGGGTGTGGGTGTGTGGGTGTGGATGTGGGTGTGGGTGTGTGGGTGTGGGTGTGGGTGTGTGGGTGTGGGTGTGGGTGTGGGTGGGTGTGGGTGAGTGGGTGTGGATGTGGTTGTCGGTATCGATGTGACTGTCATCGGAGAGAACACCCCACACACACATCCACACCCACACCCCACAGCCACAGCCACCCACCCACACCCACACCCATACCCACCCCACACCCACACACCCACACCCACACCCATTACATCAATTGATCGAATGTAGTTATATACGATGTTAACTGGTTTTGGTACTTTTATTGTAACACAGATACCAATTCATATTTATATCATCATACAAACTATCTATGGAACATTTGATATCTATACTAATTCATTAATTTGTACAATACTTTTAATTTGGTCAAGCATTTATTTTGGTATTGGATTTTATTTATATTGTTTAGGATCACCACTTTTTCGTGAAAGAGTTGTTCTTATGAATAAATTTAAATATATATATTTATTGTAGAAGAAAAATATTGTTTTTGTATTTGTTCAATTATACATTCGTTCTAATAAATATATATTCTAACGCATAGAATATTGTAGTAATTATTATGTATTAGTGAAGTAGATGATGCCTATGATTATTTTGAATTAACTGATTTTGGAACTAATGGATCGTATGTGTTTTTTGTTATTTAAACATTTTTCGTGTATGCTATTTACTTGAAAATATTCATTCATCATTAAAAAAAATACTTTCAAGTGATTATTCGAATAGAAAATAAACTTAGAACATGCATTTTCTAGTTAGTTAGAGCAATTAGTCTCACTTAGGAATAGACCTCGATATCTGGTTGTAAACGTAGAAAAAAAAATGTTGACCCTGGAAAATAAGAGAATGAAGACTTATACGTTTTAATTTTGGAAAATATACTATGCATTTACGTTCTTCGTTCTAATCAACATCAACAAACGTGAAAATGATAGATAAACCTTGTAATAGTGTCAATTCAAAACCCAAATGATCACTATTTTATGAAATACCATCTAAACGAATCGTTGAAATACATAGGAGGGAGCGTTTAACGGTCATCATGTAGAATGTAGATACTGTCATTATACTATCAAAGACTACCTATCACTAAGATTACACTGCAACATATGATCGATCTTCTTACGATAATATGTATCACAAACTGGATTGAGTAAAATGATTTTCATGCAATTCGAAACAATAGTGACATCCTGATTCATATTTTAATTTCACTCGTACAGTATGTCACAAAAAAAAATTATTCGTGCACTTTTATTTTTTTCTTCGTTATCGTTCTATTCTGCATTGAAATCATATATCATTTGATACAGAAAACAATTTTCTACACGTTTCAATGTCGTTTGTTCGATATTGTATCGATAAAGCAACAGAATAGAAAGAAATGGTTTATTCTTTTTTCACAATACACTATACGTGAATAGATAAGTATTAATCATGTCTTAAGAAAATATCTACTGTATATCTAAGCATATTATCTTGTAGAATAATTTGATTGAGTTCCCCAAAACTTAAGAATATTGGACAAGGTATATTGAAAATTAATTTTAATTACTGATTATTATGAATGATATTTGAGGATTTTTGAGAAACAAAATGTGCAGTTAGATTCAGCATTTTCTTTTTTTGTCTTTCAAATGATTTATTTGGAATTGGATTTTCATTTTTCTGTAAATCCCACGGTGTTTTCGGTATGGTCTTCACATTTTCTCAATTGTTATACATTTCATTGTGTAGAGAAATGTTTTCTCTATTTAATAACATGTAATTCAAATTATTTGCATACAAAATAGAGCCATGATAAAGAGAAAAAAATGAAAGTGTTCAAATAACTTGCTTGTTTTTTTTGCTTGTAAAACCTACTACTGCTTAGAAAAACTGTTTTAAGAAAAGAATATTTTTCTATGCAAAAGAGGACATGATGATCATTGAATACTCTAATCGGGGTCGACGTTACAGGGTGTCCGAATAATTTTATTCTATTTTGTAGTATTTTGGATACGATCAAGATGTTCTTTACTGAGAAGTATTCAAATATCAGCATACTCTAACTTATTTTTAATCTTTCGTTTTTCAAATTTTTATTGCCGTAGGATTTTGTTTTAGTGCAAATGAAATGTTTCTCCTAAAATTAATACAAAAAAAAAACTTCATTGTCGTCGGTAATGAATTCTTTGTAGTCGTTAAGTACACAAAATCTATGCACTCATTAGCGATAGTTAGTTTTCGTGCAATTCATTGTCTGAATATTCTGCTTGATATAACAATTTATTATTTGATTAAAAAAATTATAACACTAAAATAATACTAACTACGTAGGATATCACTACACTATTCGATATAATTTCTAATGTCATGATATAGTATGAATAGTACTAGCATTATCAGTGTCATCGTACTTCCATAAATGGATGTCGTGGATGTAGTGTTCCGGCTCTTGAGACACATTGAGCACAAAGATCATAAGTATTGCCATATTTGCATACTGTACATTGGAAGCGCCGGCCAGGATTCGTTCGACGACAACCATTACACCACCATACAGCTGATGGTTTAGGAGGAGGTAAACCACTTCCACGCTGTGCAGCTCTAAACATCGTGCTTTTCGTCAAATGATCAATTTAATGTGAAATAAAACGTGAATTATGTGCATATATAAATACAAAAGAAAAATATCTAGAAAGGATTCATTCACGTGTAATAATGTAATACATTCCCATATGCCTAACTATTATGTTTATTTTATATTTTTCATTGAATAAATACATAATAGCAAGGCACCCCCGTTTGTTTACCTCTTACTATTGTTTTGTGCAAAACAACTGTCAGATTCATCAACTAAGACGAATATGTTTTTATATACAACAAGTATCCCATAGTTTTTTTTAAATAGTTTTTGTCCTAACGTTTTCAAGGTAACTCAAAAATAATGTATTGGCTCACATGTAATGAGAATATCACATTATGCTGCATAGTTAAATTCAAAAATGGAAATTGCATATAAAAATTTCGATTTTTCGTGAGATTGTTTCTGTTCTGACATAATCTCTGTTGCAGAATTTTGTTATGCGAAATTTGCATTTTTATTCTACTATGCTAAGAATATTAATTTAGATAAATAAAGAAAGATTTCTTTCTGTTATAAATAAAAGGTCGAATACTTAGTGAAACTATCAGAAAATCTGAAGGATAAATAAAAAAAACTGTATACAAAAAAAAAACTTTTCTCTATGTTTTAATTTTTTTCAAGGTCAAAGTACATTTTATAGAAAAATTGAAGATATTCGTATGTATGAGGGAGCCAAATTGAACACTTCCTGAATCTTGAAGTATAGAAACTGGCCGATTGGGAATCTATTCGACCATGTACTAAGAAATTTTATTTAACTATAATACAAAGAACACGACAATATGTACTGCTTTATTGAATTGAAATTAGCATAGATTTTGAAATATATTAAAATAATTGTAATAAATAATAAGAGTTAACTAAAAATGTTTTGCTTGAGATTTTCTTTTGGATATATTTAAATTAAAATAACGATCGACAAAGAAAAAGATAGTTTGTCACATAGGATGCTCATTGGAATATTTTTATCAGTGTAGTGTATTTTACTTCAAAAATTGAGAATCGTAAGTATCGATTTGGTGAAATGCAATGAAGTAAAACAAATATTAGTGTATCAATGTATAATTCAACCACATTTTAATCATGTAAAATGATTTTAATTGAGTAGATACCTAATGACAATTGTTAGCAATACTAGTCAGAATACTGTCGATTATAGTATGATCAAACAATTACATCTTCAATAAACACAAAGTATGTGATATTATTTGTACTTGATGAGAGATTGAAATTGTTACATTCGAGAAAAAAAATGGACTCCGAGAATCTGGTTGTCCATATTTTCGTTTGCTTATTATATTATACATTATGACAAGCGGAAATGATTTTCCACAAATTGTAGTGTTCAAATAGGAACTTTTACTCAGGACATAAAGATTTTACATGTACAAGGTGCTATACATACTCTAACACAAATTAACATCGCATCTACTAAATATATGTTGTCCACTCGTTTTACAGCAAAACTTTCATTCAAATATTAAGTTTTTTAAAATAATAATCTGGTCTCTAGAACCATAATATAACAATGAAGTTTCTCTTCTTTTGATATTCAGCACATCTAGTACGGCAGACATTTGTTATTGCACAGTTATCTGAATGACTTAATCATATACGTGTGAGTGATTATGTGAATATTGATTAAACAAAATTGAATGAAACTTAGACAAATTCTAAAACCATTTGCTTGAATTACAAATGTTTCTTTTTTCTTCAACAAGGAATTTTATGTACTAACAAACTCATTATATTGTTTCTCTTTATAGACGTTGTTAAGTCCTTAGAACTGTATGAAATTCTTAGATAGAGTTTTAAGTATTACAAAGTTAAATATCGTTTATTTATATCTGCGCAATACTCTATATATTAGATTTGTTATCATCGTTGAAGTTATTTTCGTTTCAGAATAAAATTCAAGTGTTGTTTTGCAACATGAATACTAAATCGTTTTTGAGGGTGTTGCTTAAAAGTATCTTGTTTCTAGAGAATTAGATAAATGATATTTGTATGTGTATTTATTTTCAGAGAAAGAGTTTATTTGAAATGAAGAGCATTAGTCATTGTAATATTATTCTAAATTTAGAATTTCGGCAAAAGCAAGTCGTAGGTGCTTCAAGTTCTATATGACTCAATATGATCTACGACTAATGCTATAGTTATATATTCAAACCAAGCACTGATCTTAGTACTTTAGACTCAATCATAGCAAGGCTTCGATTCCATACGCAAAATATTTGAATTAACAAAATGACTTTGTACATCTCCATAGTCATCATTGGCATATATACTCATATCGAGTTACAACAGATAAGATTTATAACGCCTACTTCAATGTTTTTAGCATCAATAAATTGACAACCATTCGAAGACCATTCTCTTACATCAATTTTCTTCTCAAAACGTAAACGATATTTGACAACGGCAAATGCAAAACGAAGATTATCTTCAATCACGGAAATTCTCTATAGTTTCACTTAATAAAAATGATATTTCTTGTATGTGATATTAACGTGTAAGAAGATGATGAATTTCTACAAAAAACGTATGTCACGATCGAATTTACTTAAGAACAGAATATCATTTCATTAGATTTTTCTCAATGTTTTTGAATGACAACCAATTTTAAAGTCATTTTTATTATTAGATTGCAGATAATTAGATCTTCGTACTCTCGCGATTTTGATTGCTAAAATTATAGGTCATTATTTGCTACTTATCACTATTATGAAATTATTGCGATCACATACATTCTTTGTTAAATTCTAGTGTTTTTGATGATCTTTCTTTAGTAACTATAATAAATGGACCAGTAAACAGTGCTCAAAGATTACAGATCGAAATTGAAAATGGATTCAATGATTGTTTTTAGTTGAATATAAGTACAGTGGCAACGTCAGAAGGTTGCCTCTTTTGAACACTTTATAAAAAGAGAATAAATAATCGTATCAAAGCATCTTGAATAAAAATGTACGGTTAAAAAGAAAAAAATAATGTTTAGAAAGAATTCAGTGGTTGAAAATGAGAGCCACTACGACGAGGCATGCACTCAAAAGAGTTGCAGCAAAGCCAGCAGTCGCACGTGTACCAAAATTACATGGATTTGTGTTGCAACAGCACGATATACCTTTTACATTAGTTATTATCTATGTCTTCGCACTTATTCTGGGAACACGCAGAAATACCAAGAGTATTGAGATAAGCTGTTGCTGCTGGACCTCGGGTAACGCCTTCCACACCATTTATCGTTCCCTTGCCTTTCTATTAAAAAAAAGGATAGTTGAAGTTAGATTAGTCTGTCGTTTGCGAAAACAAAAAGCGTTGACATACTCAACACCATCCCTTTGTCGATTGTTGCTGTGGTACACCGTCTGGCTTAAATGGATCAGTGCATCTACCGTTATCGTTACACGTGTAACAGTTTACAGTTTGTCCAATACATTGTAGGGCATCTAATTTACAAAAAAATGTAAGGAGTAGCTTATAAAGTATGACGAAAGTCGATAAAGACATGTGTTTCTTTTTATATCATTTGAATGGTTATTTTGACAAAATATTTACGCAATACAGCTAATCATCTTACTTGATAAAAGTATAATACCAGTGAAAATCGTTAATACTTGCATGATTCACGTTCCTTTAATATTCAAAATACATTTCGATATGCATTGAGTAGTATTCAAATATGATCGTTTTAAAAGTGTGAAATATTGAATTTCTGCCATAGTCTGGAATGAACACTATATCACATAATTATGGTGACGATGTGTCTTCTACATCTATTCTAATGAAAAATCTTTAGAATTCTACAAACTATCATCCATGCTCACTTATCTGATAGAAACAACTAAGGCAAACCCTTTTCAAATTTGTCCGATCTTTTTCGCTATATTGCATATTAAAGAAATGTGAAGTATGCGATGAAATTTTTTAAATAGATATGTGCTCGCAGTATCATTATATTATAGAAAATTATCATAGAAAATCCTTAACATCGAATAATCTTTCAGCAAATTATTTTGATACTATTAAATATACTTCAAAGATGGAAATTTCTGTTTGGCATGTCCTTTCTGAAATAACTCCACAAGCGTAATTTGTCCTTTAATATGCTGGTTTATGTTGATAATCGCTAGTCTAAAGCTTTTCAATAACTGAAATCAAATGAAATCATTTGGAATTATACGAAATCACTTGAGCCCCATGTCAATTTGTCAGAGCAAGGGAAGACACAATTGATTTAATTCATCTGAAAGTCAAAAATAAATCATTGGAAATCATGTGAAAAAGCAGATTGTTGATGGTTTAAGATTGTAAAATGACTTGTTGCTATTTCCTCCTTTTCTACGAATCTTCAATGTAAATAAAAAATACAAGACTATTCGTTTCTAATATAGTCTCTGTTCGTTTTCTCACAGAGTACATCATAATTTTTGAAACTTTGATTCATGATGAGTAAATAATTTGGCTTTACATGAATATTTCTTGTTATATCCACATTTGAATGAATTTTTTGTTGTAAAACTAGTGAGTAACATGGATTTAGTTGTAACAATGCTAGATAGCAGTATCCGATTCCTAAATAAAAACTTCCATTTAATCATCATAATTGAGTTTAATTGTTTAATAAACCATATATGTGAACCTGATTTAAGAATCGATTCTAGACACCACGAATTGTCGGAAATGAGAACATACCAATACACATTGCACTATTGAAATCAATATAGGAAAAACCATTCTTTTATCGCTTCAATACATTCAAACATATTTGTTTCTGTCCATTGTTTCGGTCTCTAATTGAACTTTAAAATAAACTCTTCGTTTCTCTGTCATTGTGTAAGCTTTTAAATAGCATTCAAAGATCAAATACGTGATTCAATTAAATGAATAAGTAATTTTTCTTTTTATATTTAATTCCCTTATGATTATTATGAGACAGACTAAGAAAAATTTTAGTAGAAATCATGAAACTCTTGCAACAACAACAATCGGAATAATTCTCACCGCAAGACTTTCTCTGGCTTTCATTGTTAAAGTATATTTTTTGTGAAACACGATCTTGAACTATATCGACGACAAAATTTGCCGCCTCGCCTCGCCGCTATTCGAAGTCAACTAACATTTAGGAAGATGTTCCATTATTTTCACCAAGAGAATACCAGAAATTTTTTGAATTTTGTTCCGAAAACACAAACATTTTTAATAATTTGAGAGTTTTGCATCCTTTCTTCTGACCGAGGTAAATGTAATCATCGCTAACACGATGTTATCTAAGCTAGTAGTAATTGCAGATTAATTATGGATAAAGAGTTTAAAAATTCGTTTATTTTTCTTCATATAATAAAAATTTAACAAAAAAACAAGCGACCATAAAACAAGCTCAACATGTTTTTGTGTAGTAATACCGAAAACTCTTCGAAATACAATTACTATTCAATAAATTTGACTGTATACAAGTAACTTCGAAATTTTCTCATATTTTTAATTATTCATTTTACTTTTTTTTCAATCGTAGAATACTTATTTCATAACTGCCCTTAAAACGAACATTGAGAACACTTATATACAAACATTAAAAGGTTTTTTACAAAAATATTGACTAACACTTGATTAGAAAAATTACGAAGTAATTTTCATGAAGGATTGTACTTTTTGTCTACAAATTGGACACGAACGAAGTGCATATCCACAAGGAACACAAGCACACAAATGTCCACAAGGCATACATGCCAATTGTTTTTCTTCATTAAGACATATAACACAATCACCCAAGGAATTTTTTATTGGTTGAGACGAATTATCTATTGGTTGACGTTTTGATGGAATTATAATATTATCTAATGAACCTTGGATAATATCAATTTGTTTTTTAAGAATTGAACAAGCCATTGATAAATCAACATCCGATTGAAAATCATCATTTTTTGTTTTTAATTGATCTTCTATACAACGTTTAATTATTGTTAATGAATATTGTACACGAAGACGTTCAACAATAGGTAAATCAAGTCTTGCTTTAACTAAACGAGCAAGTTCGTCTTTATCAATTTTATTTTTTGTTAAAGTTCGTTGTTTTAAAGATGTTTGGATTTTTTCATATAATTCATTTCCACATAAATGTTTAGCGTAAGTACAATGAGGAAACCATCGAGCATGTTCAATAATAGGATTATCTTTTGGACCCCATTTATGTAATGATCCCTTGCAATAAAAACATGTTACTGAATCCTTAATACCAGCAAAAAAGAATCCTGCGCGCACTAAACTTTCAATATTTGGAGTATTTTCTGACCAGTTAGCATTAGAAAATGTTGCTTCTCGACGAGAGATTTCAGTCATTTCAGGACAAGATGGTTCAAATTTTTCATTAAGTATATCATTAATTACCTGCGATGAATTACTATTTACCAAAAGGTTTGAAAGAACAAATGGACATTGTGGAGCAAGTGTTCTATGAACGTAAATTGGATCATCTTTTATTGTCCATTGATGACAAATTGTATTACAATAAATACAAATAACTCTATCATCAACGTTGCATGAAAACCAACCGGCAGATGTCATTGATTCAATGCTTGGTGTAAAATGGGGCCAATGAGAAAGGCTACGAATTCGAATTTGTCGCATTGTTTCTGATTCATTTAAAAAAAACTTCTTTTTTTCAACGATAATTTCTTGTTTTGGAAAATCAATTTTTGAAATAGTTCTGTCATTTGATTTGTCTTTGTTACTTACATGAGAGCAATTACTACATTGAACAAATTCTTCTTGCAAAATTTGAGGTTGAATAAAGTCAGCTGTAGCCATATTGAAAAAATCTAATTAACTAATATCTGATTAGATAACAGTCGAATGATGATGCATTTTACTTTCATACTCTTTTATATAACATGTTGCAAGGAAACATCCAGAGTTATTATTTTTTCTTGTTTTCGATTAAGTAAGAAAGAAAAGAACATGATTGTCGCAATACATGAGTCACTATTTACATAATTTCACCGTGTAAGAAAAAATTAGTTGCTATTACTTGTATTTTTTTCCTTCTGGAGGTACGTCATGATGCTTCATATCATTTTTTATATTTCCAGTCTTACATAGATGAAAAGTTGTAACTTACGTTTGTTACATATGTGGGAAATTAATTTACAAATTATTCCAAACATCATTGGAAGTTTTTCTTTCGAAATCTAAGTAAAATTCTATTATGTTGAGAAATTATACTAATTTTTTTCCATAGATTTGATATATTCACACAAATGAAAATATTTGTAGTTCAAGATCTGACATACTGACAATTGATCTATAGTAACGATATATTTTTGCTTTTTTTATTTCATAAATTCTGAGAGAAAACATACATTCTTCATTTAATACGACACAAAACAAGAAGTATAACATCATCAAAATGCATACATGTTTTTACCATTTTTTGGCCTAACACACGTATGTAGCGTTAACGAGGTGCTTCTCGACAACATGGAGAAAAACAATTATGTAAACAAAACCGAATCACTAGAATCATTTGCACTGTTTTTTACTTCGACTATGCATATAAAAAAAAAAAAGATTTTCATTAGCATCATCTAAAAGAAGGGTCTTTAAATAAATTATTTGGTTCGAAATGAATTAGTCCCATTAACGGAACTCGCTGTACTGATGTCGGAATGTTGCTGTATCAAAAATGAATGTTATGAGTAGAAGCATAATTCATCAATAGACACACACAACTTGCCGACTTGCCATCAGTTGACAGAACCAACAAAAAAAAACACACATAAATATAAGACACATTTATGAAACAAAGCAAAGCTTTTTCTATTTTAACTTTTTTCTTATAAATTAAAAAATAATTTTTATTGTTTCACAGTTATTCTTTTCGCTCACAATAGGATTTTATCGTTCAGTAATTATCTTATTAGAAGTTTTTCTTGCTTATTAGATATTCAATTAAAACGGTTTTGATTTTCTTTTTTGAATAAATGTTGAAAGTCAATATAACAAAAGAACACAACTTGAGTTTCAATAAAAATCGATCTGATTGTATGAATGCATCATCCTTTCATCTGGAAAAAAAAGTCTACCACTTTCAAAGTAAATATCGTAATCATATTATTCATTGAATTTTGATTTGTATTCTATAATAATGAAGTAGAAACATTGAATAATACATAAGAATCATAATTAAATTGACTTAGAGTAAAACGTGCGCTTTAGAATTAGCTTAGTCCTTGATTTCAAATTTTTAGAATAAAAGATCATGCATTTATAATCATAATACTGAATGTATTAGAAACTATTGTTAAAGTAATTGATAAATGGTATTCGTCTATTTTTGACATTATTCACAGGATTACATGAAATTATGATGAAAAACGCCGATAAGAGTCAATAAAATTTGATTGATGACAATATGTGGAGAGCCTTGAATACTTGAGATGGTGTAAAAAGAATTTTTATCGCCATTGGATAAGAAATATGGACAAATTATTTATGACATGAAGTGATTGTTAATATTTAGAAGAAACGATGAATAACTGAAATTTATAACGTAGAGGCATGTTTAGCAAATTCTTCCAAAAATCATTCTTTTTTTCAGTTAGATTAAGTCGTATACTTGTTTTTTTTTAAAGAGATATATACAGTTGTTCGTCAATAACTCTTCAATTCAAAAACAATAATCTAATATCAACAAATTTTCATACAGCGACAGTAACTTATTCGTATATTTTAATGATATTTGGCCACTTTACTTTTACTCCTCTTATGTTTAATATGTATTACTGAAAAAGAACGTGCTTTAGTTAAAATATAGTGCAAAAGCCTGAGCTTTTACTTTCTCTTGTTATTTAATATATTGTATTAATGACTTAAGTCTTTTAGTTTTTTTCATGACCATAGCATCGATTTCCAGGTTGTGTAAAGGAATTAATTCACTTTATTCTAAAATTTTCTGGCATTTTTATATATTCCAATGAAAGTTGATGTTGGAAAATACATTTTTTTTAATTCTCAAATCAAAATTTGTTTTCTACTCAACGGTTCAATATCAATATCAAGATCGAGAATATGATACATTATTCAATATAGATTCGATATTAGCAATTAATATTTTTGTAACTTTGTCATCCTTCCTTGTATTGAAAGGTGTAGAAGACAATCATAAACGATCACAAACTAAATATAAGATGAGTAGTGTACAAAAACAGAATCCTATACTTTGGTCATGAAAGAGTTAAAGACTGAAATCATCCATTAATATAATATATTAAACCACAACTAAAAGATAAAACCAGACTCTTATATTGTATTTTACACAATAGGAGCATAATTAAAGCGTGCATAACCAAATCCGTTTAGGATTTTCACTAAGACACCATACAGTATCTATGGGCAAAATATCTTGGGATCACAGCTTAGGAGGTCACCTTGCATGTTACTGCAGTTTCAATATGATTGATATAAATTACTAGAAATTGCAAAAAAATTTTCGCTGCTCTTATTTAGTTAAATATATAGTGAACAATTTTCGTCAAAGACTAGAGTTCATTACTTTCATTATCGATATGTAGCTTATCTAACTCAATATGTTGTCTGTAGCAATAAAGTTGTCACCAATAATGTGGTCTTATTGGATAAAGTTTAGAATTCTTATTCGGTTTTATAAATGATTTTTGAAAATATGTATTCATCGGTATAATATCTGCATAGCTGATGATCTAATCACTAAAGCCTTAAAATATTTATTAATATTGATATTTATAAGTCAGAAAACCACTATATTTGTTTTTCATAAGAGTTGATTTCATAATAATGAGAAATTAGAATTTTATTCAAAAATTGTATTGATAATCCATCGCCAGTTTGGTTGAATTTTCAGATCAAAATTAGGTTAGATGTAACGTGTAAGTCAACCATTGTGATCTCATGTTTCTCAAAAATAAAAAATGAAGTCGACTTGGTTTTTTTCCATTTTCAGGTATTTAAACAATAACATCTCATGAGGAATGTTTTCAAAAGTATTTCTAGAATTCGATATTTTATTATGCCATGAAAACTTGTAGTTAATATGTGTTGCCATATGCATATTCATGTCGTTTAATATAAAATAAAAGAACATCAACGTTTGTTTGGTGTGAAAACGTCTCATCTTAATTATTTCAGAAATTATCTGGGGCTGCACAGCATGATGTTACATGTATGACATGCTCTTTACTTGTTAACTGTTAAATCCGATGATAGTTTCTAGAACAAGACTCATTGAAGCGTAAATGGCATATGACGATCATTAGTATGCCCAAATATGATTTTTTTTTATCTAAAACCTTCGCAAAAGAGACATTTTTAGAGTGACTGCACACAAATGATGTCCTCAGTTGTTGTCAACCATAGGAGTTCAGAATTTTTTGGAGGCATACTATATCTTCATGCTAATGATACGGATGTTTTTTTCTATGTTCTCTTTACGAATTAAAGTTATTCTTTTTTCTCGAGATCTGTGGATATTGCTCTCATACTGTCGTTAATATAGATTCCTTTAGATATTTATCAATGAGTATCGACTTCAGT